TTTGGGAGGTCTAGTAAGGGAAGCATTTGTACAATGAATAGTAGGTTCCCTGGGAAGTACTGAAGAACAAAGGAACCTTGGTGGATAAGACCACAGATCCCTGAAGATATCAACACAGGTAGACAGGGTGGCAAAGAAGGCAAACCAGACGCCTACCTTCATAGCCAGGGCGTAGAATATAGGATCAAGGAGGTCTTGTTACAACTGGAATACTGTGTGCAGTTCTGGTCACCGTACTGTAGGATGGATGTGATTGCATTGGCGAGAGTGCAGAGGAGATTCACCATTATGTTGCCTGTGATGAAAAGTCTCAGCTATGAGGAAAGACTGGATAGACTGGGATTGTTTCCCTTGGAGTAGAGGAGGCTGAGGAAGGGGATCTGACTGAGATATACAAAATTATGAGAGGCACAGACAGAGTAAATCATGAGAATCTTTTCACCATGGCAGACGTGTCTAAGAACCGACAGTCTGAGTTTAAGGTTAGGAGTAAGTGCTTTAAAGGGAATCTGAGAAAAATGTATTTCATCCAAAGGATGGTAGAAATATGGAATGTATCGCCTAAGAAAGCAGAGGACGCAGGTACTCTTGCAACATTTAAGAAGCATCTGGATGAGTACTTAAAATGCCAGAGCATAGTAGGCTGTGAATCAAGTGCAGGTGAATTGGATTAGTATAATTTGCTGTTCATTGGTCATTATCGACATGGTGGGCCGAAGGGTCTGTTTCTATGCTGTATGACTTGATCACTCTATCCAGTGGATATTTCCTATTTGGATTTTCAAAAGGTGTAAGGTTTGAAACAGGGGAGTAAACAAAATTAGAGAACAGGGGATTGCAATAATATGCTCAGTATGGTTAACACCTGAAAGTAGGAATTAACGGTTCATTCTTGGGATAGCAACCTGATATTAGTGGGATATCACAAGTATCAGTTCTCAGTCTTGATTGTTGACAATCCCAACAAATGATTTAAATGTGGGATAAATTTCTTTTTAAAAATCAGTGTGTGTCTCAGATTATTTAGCAAGATGGCTGCTTAGAATGATGGTCTCCAGTGACAGGGATCTCGGGTGTGCCTGGAGGCTTCTGCACATGAAGAAGGTGACATCATGACTGGTGTGGTGGCCATTGTCCCAATGGATTTCAAGGTGAAGAAAGTGGAGCTGAAATAAGTTGGTGGATCCATAGATGTACAACAAGAAGTTATTAACAGGCTGATGTCAGCACGACCTGTTTTGAGGCGCTGAGCTGCAGTGAAGGGTTGGTACCATTTAACTGTCTGGCTTCAAATCTTGCACAAAATGTGCTCAGTGAGTAAGACAGAAGTTCAGAATGTACATTTCACCAGAGTGAGTTGTAAAGTGATAGAATTACTGTGCATGAGTCAACCTTGGTGCTAGGAAACATATAATAATACAAAGTGACAGCTAAGTAAGATTCCATTCAGCTTGGTGTGTTGCTTTGAAAAGCAGTAATGACCGATCAGGAGTCTTTTTTGTACCAGAGTATTCAACAAAATCTGTCCTACTATCATCCATATTTTGCCCTTCACCATCAGCTCTGTAGTCTATGCTTTGCAACCTAACACAATCCTTCTCTTTTTTCCTTCCAGTCCCTCATACTTATTCTCAACCTGTTGCTTTTATGACATTTCCAGCTTTGATGCAAACTTCAATTTTCACTCATGTTGACAGAGCTCTACTGTGCTTTTATGGATAATGCTAAAGTTCATTTCTGCACTGCAAATCTGAGGGCAGCACACCCTTTATGACAAGCAACTACTACCCTCAATCAGTTGCCAGTGATACAGGACCTTAGTATTCTGTTTCTGAACATGCATATTTGGTGTTCCACCTAGCAGTGGCATTGGCCATACGTGCAGCTTTTATTTATTCATCTACTGGATGTGGGCAGCACTGGCTAGGCTCAAATTTATTGTCCATCCCTAATTACCCTTGAGAAGATGGCAGTGAGATACTTTCTTACTTGCTGCAGTCCATTTGCTGTCGGGAGTTCCAGGAATTTGGCCCATTGACAGCTGAATGAAGTCCAAGTCAGGTTGGTGTTTGGTTTAAAGGGCAACCTTCAGGTAATGTTGTTCAAGGCATTGCTGATGCTGTCCTTACAGTTAGTGGAGGTCGAGAGTTTGCGAAGTGCTGTCTGAGGAGCCTTGGTGAAATGTTGCAGCTGTTAGATGGCTTTTTCCTGGATGGTGGTTGAGCCTCATGTGTGTTGATAGAATTGAGGTCATCCAGGCAAATGGAAAATATTCGACCACACTCCCGACTCGCGCCTTGTAGATAGTCAATAGGTTGTGAGGAGTCTGAAGGTGAGTTAATCGCTGCATAATTCCTATCCTCTGACCCATTTGTAGCCACAATGTTTAGATGGCTGGTGCAGTTCAGGTCAGTTTGTGGTCAATGGTAACTCTGAAAATGCTGATAGTGGAGGGAATCAGTGATGATAATGCCTTTGAATGTCAGAGAGCAACGGGTTGATTCTTTCTTGTTTAAGATGGTCATTGCCTGGCACTTCAGTGGCAAATAACAGTCACACCATACATCAGCCCAATCCTGAGTGCTGTCCAGAACTTGTTATGTTTGGACAGACTCCCTTAGTATCTGAGGAGTCATGAATAGTGCTGAACCTTATGTAATCATCAGTGAACATCTTCATCTCTGACCCCATGGAGGGGAGGGGAGGTCATTGATAAAACAACTGAAGATTGTTGGGCCTAGGACACTAGGCCAGCAGAGATGTCCTGGAACTGAGATGATTCACCTCCAACAAACACAACAAACTTCAATCATACTGATATGATTCTAACTAGTAGAGTGCTTTCCCTGATTTCCAATGATTCCAGTTTTGTTTCGGCTTCTTGATACCACACTCAGTGAAATGCTGCTTTGATGTCAAGTACAGTTATCCTCACATCTTCTCTTGAGTTCACCCCTCACGTCCATGTTTGGATCAAGGCTGTGGCAAGGTAAGGAGCTGGGTGGTTTTGACAAACCCAAATTGAAAGCAAGTACCTGTGAGCAGGTTTTTGTTGAGTAAGTGTTGCTTGATAGAACTGTCAATGATACCACATTTTTGTTGATGATTGAAAGTGGACTGATGTGGTGGTAATTGGTGAGGTTTGATTTTTCATGCAATTGTAATTAATCCAAATTTGCTAATATCACTATACAGGGTGGGAATACAAATTGTGAGGAATATGCAATGAAACATCAAGCGGACATTAATAGGCTAAGTGAATGGGTAAGAATATGGCAGATGAAATAATATGTGAATAACTATGAAGTTATTTACATTGATTCCAAAAAAATCAAAAAGACAGTATTTCTTAAATGGTTAGCGTCTGGGAAGTATTGGTGTCCAAAGGGTTCTTGGCGTCCTTGTTCATGACTCACTACAAGCTAGCAGGCAGCTACAACAATCAATCAGGCAGGCAATTTGTATGTTGACCTAACGATTCTAATCCAATTATCCAGCACTTGGCCTATAACCTTGTTTGCCTTGGCATCGCAAGTGTACATCTAAATACTTCTAAAATGATATGTAGGTTTCTGCCTCTACCATTCTTACTCTCCAGATTCCCATTATCCACTCTGGGTGGAAAAAAAGACTTTTCCTCTCATCCCCTCTAAAATTCCTGACCCTTGCTTTAAATCAATACTCCCTGGTCACTGATCATTCTACTAAGGAGAGCAGTTTCTTCCCATTTACTATTTCTATGCCCCTCATATATTTATACAACTCAATCATGTCCCCCTTCAGTCTTCTCTCCTCCGAGGAAAATAACACCAATCTATCCAATCTCTCATCATACCTAAAACTCTCCAGCCCATGCTACATCCTGATAGATCTGGACCCTCTCCAGTGTAATCACGTCCTTCCTTCAATGTGGATTCCAGAACTGCATGCAATACTCTATCTATGGTGTAACCAACGTCATATACAGTTCCAGCATCTCCTCCCAGCACTTAAACACAATGCCTTCGCAAATAAAGGCAAGTAACTCACATGCCTTCTTAATTACTTTATCTACTTGTCTCATTATCCTTGGTCATGCACACCAAAGTCCCTCTGATTCCTCAGTGCTTTCCAGGGCGCTATTATTCATCATGTGTTCCCTTGCCTTGCTTGTTCTGCTCAAATGCATCATCTCATACTTATCTGAATTGAATTCCATTTGCTGCCATTAAGCCCATTTGACCAGGCTGTCTTCCTGTGATCTAAGGCTAATCTCCTCCCTATTTACCACCCCACCAAACTGCATATCATCCTTGAACTTACTGATTAACTCTGGTACATTCAAGTCTAAATCATTTATATATACCACAAACTGCAAGGGCCCCAACACTGCTCCCTGTGGAACTCCACAAGTGACAGGCTTCCAGTCACAAAAACAGCTGCTTCCTGCCGCTCAGCCAATTCTATATCCAATTTGCCAAATCTCCTGGATCTCTCCCTCACCTTCCCAAGTACCCCGAGAAGTAGTGTAAAGCTGTCCATTATAAAGAGACTTGATAAGAATAAAGATGTTTGAATTATAGAGCGTCTTTAATTACTAAACTCTTGGATCTTCGGGTAAATGAAGGTTCCACCATCATTATATGCAAACTACATGAAGACTGCACCTCCAGTGTATGTGACAGCAGAAATAGCCCTGTGAGTTGGAGAAGGAAATTTAAGGAGAGAGATCCTTACAAGAAATTACTCAGTTGAACCTTTCACACCAAAACTGAGAAATTATCCAGTGATAATTACATTTTTAGTATTTCACAGCTAAAGGATAAAAAGCTCAAAATCCAACCATGGAAACCAGAACAGTTTCAAGCTTGGAAGAACAATAAAACTGGGTAGAAAAATATGTACGCATGGCTTTACACCACATCCTTCACTGTCTTAATTTTCTTCATTTGGGGAGTTACATCTAAGATTACCAATGGAAACATCTGAAAATTTTTTTAAAAATTATAACAGCTCTGTACCTGTTTCGATATCCGTCAAATGAAGCATAGAATCAAAGCCACCACTGAGGACACGTCTTCCACAGAAGGACCACTGAACATCACGAACTGCCCCAGAATGGCACTGGTAAGTCATCAGGCATCTTCCTGTTTCAACAGCATCCCATATCTATTGGAAGTCCAAACAATAGAAATAGAATTTTTAAACTTAATTTGCATTCACTTAGTCAACTTCAAACTTACTACATTATGAAATGAAAAGAAATGAAACAAAACAGACCATCCCAAACACCAGAAATGACAAAAGCAAATTCAAGCTCTGTCAACTCTTACAAATCATCCTTATTTTTATCTAGGGACTTGTGCCAATGTTAAGTTAGGAGAGTTGTTCTACAGACTCAATCAACAAGAACCTGACACAGCCACAATAACAGAATCATACCTTATAATGTCCCAAATACCAAAACCATCCCTGGGTACGTGGTGTCCCACTGGCAGGACAAATCTGCAACAATAGTGACATACAGTCAAGAAGTTTTCCACAATAACTATGGAGCCCACAAACTCACAGCATTAAGTCAAAGATGGGCAAAGAAATCTCCTGCAAATTACTACCTAACAAACGCCCTTCTCTCCAAGCTTACGAATCATGTTAACCATCGCTTGAAAGAAAAGCTAAGGGTGGCAAGGGTACAGAATACCCTGGGTGGGAGACTTCCAACATCATCATCAAGGGTGGTTCAGTTGCACTGAACAGGCTGGCTGAGTCCTAAAGAACATAGCTGCTAGACTGGATCTGTGGCAGGTGGTGAGGAAACCAATGAGACAGAATAAAAAACCTATTTGATAGTATCTCCAGCAATATTTCACCAATGTAACTGGCCAAAATAGAATGGGTAGAAGTGACCACTGTATAGTACTATTGCAGGTAAAGTTCTTTCTTCATAATGAGGTAACTCTCCATCATCTTGTCTGGCACCAGCACCATGCTGAATGAGGTAGATTTCCTACAGATTTGGCGATTCAAACTGGGTATGCATGAGGCACTGTGGGGCATAAGGAGCAGCAGAGTTGGATTCAACCGCAATCGCTAACCTCATGGCTTGACATATGGCCCACTCTACCATTACCATCAAGCCAGGGGATCAAATCAGGTTCAATGAAGAGTTTCAGAGGGCATGCCAGCCACAGCAGTACCTGGCACAACTTAAAGTGAGGCATCATTTAGTGAAGCATGCAGAGACAAACTGTGGAAGCAGCATGTGACAGATGGAGCTAAGCTATCCCACAAACAGCAGAGTAGATCAGAGTTCTGCAGTGCTGCCATGTCCAGCCTTAAATAGTGGTGGACGATTAAACAAAAGGAGGAAGAATCCACTAGTATTCCTGTTCTTAATGATGGGGGAGTCCAGCATGTCAGGCACAAGCCAAGGCTGAAGCATTTACAACCAAGTGCCAAAAGGATGATTCACTTCAGCTTTTTACTAAGGTCCCCAGCTCCACACATGGCAGTTTTCAATCATTCAATTCACGCGGTGTAACAAAGAAACACTTGAAGGCCCTGGATACTACAAACATTATGGGCCCTGACAACATTCTGGCAATAGTACTGAAGACCTGTGCTCTGGAACTAGCTGCGTCACTAGCCAAGATGTTCTATACAACTACAATACTACCATTCGCCCAGCAATGTGGAGAATTATCTCAGTACACCCTGTCAACAAAGAAAGGTCAAATCCAATCCGACCAACTACTATCATATCAATATCATCAGCAAAATGATGTAAGGGGGTCATTGACAGAACTATGAAGCAGCAGCTGCTCAGCAGTAACCTGTGCACTGACACTCAGATTGGGTTACTCAACCACTGACCTTATTACAGCCGTGGTTCAAACATGGACAACAGAGCTTAACTCCAGAGGTGAATGAAAATGACTGTCTTTGACATCATGCAAGGAGTTCAGAGTACAGCACCAAGGAACCCTAACAAGACTGGAGTCACTGGCATGGAGACAATAAGGATTGCAGATGCTGCAAGCTAGAGGCAGTAAATGTAGAGCTGGAAAAGCACAGCAGGCCAGACAGCATCCAAGGAGCAGGAAAGTCAATGTTTATAGGCCGAAACCATTTGTCAGGACTGGGGAGAGAGAGGGGAGCTCAGATATAAATAGAAGGAGCGGTTGGGGCTGGGAGAAGGGTAGGAGAGATGATGTTAGGTGGACGCAGGTAGGAGGTACTGTGTGAGATTGTTGATAATGGGCGAAACAGTAGCCTAGTGGTTAGCACTGTTGCCTCACAGCACCAGGGACCCAGGTTCAGTTCCAGCTTCGGGTGACTGTCTGTTTCCACAATGAAGTTTGCATATTCTCCTCATGTCTGCCTGGTGCTGAAGTTTCCTCCCACGGTCCAAAGATGCAGTTTAGGTGGATTGGCCATTCCAAATTGTCGTAGTGTCCAGGGAAGTGCAAATTAAGTGGATCAGCCATAATAAATGCGGGATTATGGGGATAGGGTAGGTGTCTGAGTCTGGATGGGATGGTCTTCGGAGGGTCAGTGCAGACTCGATGGGCCACACTGTAGGGATTCTATGATAAACCTGCCTAAATAGCCTCATCTTCTCTGAATAAGGGCATAATTACCTCAGTAATTGGTCCACAGTAAGGACATGGGCAACTGGGAAGGTATTTGTAGAAACATAAAAGAAAGTTCATGGAAAGTGCTTCATTTTTTTAATGCAGTCATAGCACAGAATCTGAGAAGTCTGTATCATGGTAAGCATATAAGTTGAGTTTTCAATTACACATTAAGATCTACAAAACAAAGCACAACCTCAATACAATTCTGTAACTATGAGCTCTTAATGCTATGCTGCAACTATGAGCTGGATAAGAACTATATCCATTGAAACATAATGCTGAAACTTTAGTTCCATTTCTCTCTCCATAGATGCTGCCAGGCCTGCTGAGCTTCTCCAACACTTTGTTAAAATTTCAATTATATTTTGCCCAAATTGTAAAATTAACGGAAAACTGTGGTCAAGCCAAACACCTTGCACATTAAATGGCAGATGGAACCAAGACAAATCCCATGGATTTGTTAGCAATCAAACCAGATGTCAGTAATTACTAAGAGTCACAAAAATCTCATTGACACTTATATGGTCCTCCAGATGTATTTTATTCTTGTAGTTTTGACTTTTAATTCTGACCAATGTCACTCTAATTTGGAATGCCAGAACACCTTTCACCTCCTGGTGTTCACTCTTGTCTTCCAGAAAGTGTTCCCACACAAACTGTCTGCCTAACTTGCAGATCCTTCTCACCTCCCTCTGGTTTCTGCAAACATGGAGCTGGCCACAGGACAAATTCACTCTCTAGATCCACTTCCTCGGTTATGGTGGCCCTGTTAACTGTTGGTGGACTCAGTTCACTTTCTCAGTTCACTTTTTGTCTTTCTTCCTGGGCCCTGTGGTCGCTGATGGTTCCTTAGGGTGGCATTTTTCCAGTGTCAGAACAGATGGGCAATTATGACAAAGTTGGGAGAATATGGCGAGATTAAAAAGAGAATCTTGCTATTGAGAAAAACCGTTGGACTTCCCCTTAAGTTTTGAATAGTTAGGTAGGAATCTCGCTAGTAAGTTGTGAGAGCCCTCCTTGCATGCAATAGCATCTCATTATTAGCAAATCTTGCCTCATTTTATGCCAGTTGCTATTTTCCTAGATACTGGTGAGAAACTAAATGGTGCCGATTCTCATCGTGAAAGTTACTTGGTGGCTGCAGCTTGCTGGCACTTTCTTCTGACATGATCTCGGCCCTCACCTCGGGGCATGCTCCAAAGGCAGGAACTGCCTGCACTCCCTGAGCATGTAAGCTGGCATCAGCAAAGCACCAATCTCACCACATCAGCATGGCACATGTTGGACCCACTTATAATCCAGTTCAGCACTTCATAACTGCAATTTAAAGTGAAGCAACACCTTACAATACAATGCTGCATCATGCACAAGGGCAGGTTCCTATCTTGTGCATTGGAACAGGTTGTATCTCAGGTCTCTTGGCTTACTTTCTTAAGTGCTCATTCTCTTAGCAAATGCTTGGAGGCTCACAGCATCTCTGTCTTGTCTTCCCTTGCCTTTTTGCCCATTGACACTTAATTTAGGACTTGTGGCCTCACAGTAGTCTGTCTTTCAGCGCAGATAGAAAGTCAGGCATCTCGTCCTGGTTGCCAGCATTGAAAAGTCAAGGGAGTGAACATGTTGGTGTACAGCACAGTACTACTTCAATGTCACACTTAAAGGGTGTGGCAGCAGCTGCTGTGACAAAAACACCACATATGCTTGAACCAATAGTCATGTCTTTCAGTCTAAGGGAAATAGCATTTAGTCCAGTCAAGAAGGATTATGGTCAGTTATGTACTGCCACCACGGTCAGCCATGGGCATCATCTGATCTCAGTCGAGAGGGCTTAGCCATGATCAGACAGGCATTTTGTGGAATCAAGGTTTGAGGATCCACATCCTTATGGACTGGGGATTGGGATGTGGTCAGTCCTGCAGGTTAAAATAAACCACTCTGGAAATTACAATATCCCGTAGGGGAAATAAATCAGTCAGGGGGCTGAGGTGTCCTCAGTTGGAGCTATCCTCCCCAAATATTCTGGGATATGAGCCACAGTCAATGATGGGGATTGGGAATTAAATGTCAAGGGGTAGGGTTATCAGCATGCACTGCTATTCTGAGACAATTTGTAAAGTCAAGAGTGGGGACTGGAGCCAGCATACTGGGATACAGATGGGTCAATCACTATAGGGTGGGCAGTGTTTAGATTCGGCATGAGATGAGGACAACTCTAGGCATAAGGTTGGGAGCAGATATAGCACAGGAAGGCCCAAGGTCCAGCGGACGTCAATTCCCATACAAATGCCAAAGGTCTCAAAGGCTGCACAAGGGCATAGAGCTGCATTCCTCTCACACCGAATTTAAGTGTGCCAGAACATGTTCCTGTTAGCAATGTGGCATTTCTTTTTTTCTTGATTGATTGATTAATTGATTTTATTGTCACGTGTACCAAAATACAGTGAAAAGCTTTGCTTACGCGCAGTACAGGCAGATCACAGCAAGCAAAGGGTATACAGATCAAAAAGACTTAGAAGCATACAGATTACATTG